AAGTGGCAAGAAGCCTCAACAGCTGCCTCCTCCCGTTTTTTGGGAGCTACGTGTGCACTGAGGCCGTTGCCCACTTGCCGAGCGAGGCTGCGTCTGTGCCTGTGGCTGGCTACATTCCTTGCTGATCCACATCCAGACTGCTGACCTGACATCCTGCTTGGTCTCATACCTGCCTCATCACCATGGTCTTGTCTGATGATCTGGACTCCTGGCTGAACCGGGTGACTGTCACCAGACCTGCCCTGCTCGTGTGCTGCAGTGCTTTACCTCTCGCAGGCGAGGCTGCTGGCTCTGCCTGGCTCGCTGACTCTTGGCTCGCTTTCCCTCGTGGAGCAGCCTGCTTCTGCTGCTCCTCAGCGCCAGCCTGCTCAGCTCTGTCAAATAACAGGTCTTTCTCTGCATGCCCCAAAGCATAACTTCGTTCAAATAGAACTTCAAGATCAAAGCTGATGTCTCTCCAAAATAGGCTACAGCTGAGATGGGATCTGCACATTTGCAGCTTTGGATTACAATTTGACCTGTTTTGGGGAAGTTGCTCCCTGTCCTGAATTAGGTCCTATCTTGCCTGTCAACATGTGTTAAAACAAATGCCCTTAGCACAGGCGTCTTTCACTCTAGTTAGCTGTCTAGGTTTTCATAATCAGTAGAGAGAATAAGGCAAAATTTACATTATCCCAAGGAAAATATCTAAGATTAGGTGAACTCTGCTCTTGAAATGTCCATTTTGCTTCACTGATACATGCCAGGCTAGTCAGGAGTCTTAGGTGGAAACATCTTCACTGAGGACACCTAAGGGATACGTGAGCTGAATCCTATTCTAGGCCCCGTCTTATACTTTCAGCCCTCATGGCTGAAAGCCATAGCAGATTTGTATTTAGAATACACTTACATCCAAGAATGGCTAGTATCTTCCACACACTTCAAAGGGAAAAGACTTTTTTGAAAATTAAAGTCCAGCTCCACGCTTCGATTTCAGATTCAGACTTCCTAGGGCAAGGGGCTGGATCCAGGGGATCACAGTCCCTTCTTTCCTGCTTCTGATTTGCAGATGCGTCACCAGGCATTACGCACTTGGCAAGGACACCCCCATCTCCTAGATCCCAACATACGGCCACAGAAGAGACAGTCAGGGAGGACTGCAGGGCTTAGGATATTTCTGGCTTGTATCTGAAGACTACAGCCAGCTGGCTTCGTTTACCAAGTTTTCTAAATCTAGATAATCCTACTGCCAGATCCAGCTTTTGTGACTTTTCCATCCCTCCTGCTTCGCTTTTCCTTGGAGGAAACGGGGAACAGCTGTTTGAACAGCAGATGCAGCCCGAATGGCCAAACATCCTCTGTTCTGCACTCAGCCCACGGGAGTGAGGTGATGGCTGCTTCTGCAGAAGGAGAGGATGGGAGAGGAGGCAGCCGATAAGGTAGCACCTCTCTCCTCCTACCCTACAGCAGCAAAGGCAGTTCTGCAGCCTTCTGGGGATGAGGCGTGGGCGTTAGTGCAGGCAGCAAGGGATAGCGAACCGGTTAGCTGCTGGGGGACAAAACCCTGTTTCAGTCTGTTTGCTGAGGTCAGAGCATCCTGCATTCAACTGCGCAAGACCTGAGGTCAGCTGGGACTTGCCGCCAGCAATGCCATTATAGCTCTTTGAGTTCCTTCCCAACATTTTGCAGTCCTATTCCTTCCCTTCTCTTCCACCCACAAGGAGTGGGTACAGATGAGAATGAGTGCTTTACAGCTGCCATTTGTAACATTGTCATATCATTAACGTGAAAACACTGGAAAGGAGGGTTTTTTTTCTTGATCTGGAGGATCAAAGGATTAAAAGGCAGAAATCTTCAAATCTCACAGAAAGAGTAAGTGGGTCATAAACCCCCATTCTACAGTCTGTAAACAGAGCATTTTGTAATGCAATAACTCACAATAAAACTAAAGTAATAATAATACATGTAATGTGTTCTGATGTTGTTTCTAATTAAATGGCAGAATACTGTAGTCTTCTTTCACTCAATTCTGTTATAATGCGGTTTTAATGCATACACACATGCTGTTTGATAGTATGATTTGCTAAAAGCATCATGTTATTATATTAACATCAAATAGTTACTTGCAATCCCATTAGGTAGCTCTGGTGACAATGCTTTCTTGCAGACCTTTTATTCAGTTCCAGACGAGCTACTTGAGCTACGCTATTTATGGCGGATGGGTGCCTCACATTCAGTGTATTCTTTTTTGGGTTTTCAGAAAGTTAAAGCTAACACAGTTTCTTTCTCAGCAGGCAGATAAGGAAAGAAATATGATATTATGTTTGCCCATGTTTGGAGAAATCATGCCATTATCTCATACAGAAATGCCTGTTATGTGGAAGACAGCCTTAACATTTGGCACAAGGTACAAGGACGACAGGAGTTATCAGAGCTGATACACACACTTGATAGAGTTGAGTCCCTTGCTGTGTACAGGGAGTAAGATAGCTCAGAGGAAGGGGGTGCTACCATCAAGAAGTTTGGGGCTAAGGATGGCGATGAAAGCATTTGCTACAGGAAAACTTGATGATGAAGCTCTTCCAGAGGTTTACCAATTGGCCTGCTGAAGCCATCTCTGTCACCTCAGAGAAGCTCAGTGCTGCCTCAGACAGCAAAAGCCTCCTGAAACTTCTCTTTGCACAGGCCACATTTCATCTCTGACACCTATTGCTAGTGGGGTTGTCCATCCATCCTTCCCCTCAAGCACCTCTCCTGTTGCCAGGGGGCTGCTGCGTTGCAGCATTTGAGAATGCAGAGCAGAAGCATTGTTGCTTCTGTGCTAAGAGCAATTTCCCTGCTGGCACCCAGCTTGTTGGAAAGCAGCTGACCTCAAACACAGAGAGATGAAGAGAGGAGAGAGTATGAGAGTTTGGGGATGAGGTCTCACAAGCATGTCAGCTAAGAGATGTGAAGTACAGGAGCTAGGGAAATGCAGTAGAAGGAGCAAAGAGGAAGGTGAAAGGCTGAAGAGGGCAGAGTGTAAGTGCAGCATGGCTCTTACATCAATGTCCTGTTTCCAGTTGCGGAGGTAATTAGGGTTTGGGAGCCTCTGTACCATGCTGTGGTGCGCAGTGGAAGCATGCCGTTGGCATCTTTCATAAAATGTTCACAAGCGGGGGGACAAAAAAAATCCCCAAGTCTCTGTGCTGGTTCCTACTTGTTTTGGCCAAGGGAGAGAAGCCCGCATGACAGATCTAAAGGTCAACCCCCTGCTGATGACTTTTGTATCAGGGAGTACAGTTCTACGCGATGGATTTTTTTCTGCATTTAAAAAAAGCAAAATAATTGCATTAAAACAAAGAATGAACCAGGTGCTAAGGTTAAAATTTCAGTCACGCATCTAAATGATCAGTATAAGCATTTCTATATGTGCTAACCATATAACTTCTCCAAGTATGGGTAAGATAATGGTTTTTTCCCTTGCCTTCTTGGAAGTACTTCCAGTGAAGGTTGTTTGTGCAACCCTTATTAGTCACCTTGTGCATGTTACTGTAATAGACTTCCATTGCATGAATACATATTCCTTCTTCCATAGTCCCCTCTGTACCTTGCAGTGCACAGGGGCGCTGTTGATAAACTGCTATAGCTTGTAAAGCAGCAAGTTGTAGATTCCTGAATTTTAGTTTCCATGGAAGAGGGAGGGGGTTGTTTTCATAGGGGTATCAAAGAACTTAATATTTCTGTAGCAATGCTCGGGTGTCCGTCGCATTTTAAAGATGGAGAGAAGGTCAACAAAATCAATCATTGCCCTCAACCAATTTTTTCCCTGATTTTGAGGTGCTTAGCATTTGCTTCTGTTGTTCAATGCAGAAGGCTGCGTTGTGACAAGAAAGGTTTTCCGTGACCTGTACAGATGAAAATGTATCACAACCACTGGGGCAGCAGCTGGGCAATGCAGCATGCCTTAGGCAGCAGCACCTCAGCTGAGCCCAAGGTTAAAGGTGGTACTGACCCCCGTGTATCCTCGGGCAGGTGTCCCCCAGGTGCGCGAGGTCTTGCTCTGGGAGAGTGGCCTCCAGAGGGAATGCAGAACTCTGTTGGCCAGACTCTGAATTTGATTGGCAGCTGATGAATTTAATGGTGGAAACAAGCTGGACCGTGTTTTCAGACAACAGGCAGTACGTAAAACCAAAAAAAGGCTGATAGAGCTACTTGGTCCTTGCAGATTTCTTCAATTTAATATGGTGTTTAAAGTTTAAGGAACAAAAAAACCCTTCTCTCTGAAATTGCAAGTTTTCTCCAAAAATAGAGCTGGTGAGAAAAATGTGAACTGACTTCACCAAAAATATCATCTGTCGTGAACAAGTCTCAACTACATTAAAGCAAAGATGCTTGATTACTTTTTCAC